CTAAATAACCTTCAAAGCACTGACTAAGTACAATAAATCACTACGAACATATATCGTATACACCCCCCCGGAAAGTTTACACTATTATGCCTGATCCCTGACTCATATGAATTTTCCCCCACTCATCACAATACTTGTCAAGTTTCGAAGAAACTTGACACTAAAAACATGTGGTTTATACACGATTTACACAACAAGCGATGGTCGCAGCTTTCAGGACCAACCTCTTTATCTGGACATTCAACCGCATATCGACCCTTTGTGGTATAGAATTTTCCAAGAAGTTGGTTGATGTTCAACTTTAAGGGTGAACAACAATTTCTTCAGAGAGTGAGGGCTCTTTTGCAAATAACTCAAAATCAACTTGCAAAAACGTTGCGGCTGTTTCCATCATATTTATATAATATTATAACTTCCAGCGTCGTTTGACGCCTTTAACGTCGTTAGTTAACAACAGATACAGATATTTCACAGCACACTCGCTATATCAGGGCTTTTCAGTGACTGGTTACATTATGAATAGATAGATAGAACCGGACTGACGTGAAGCGACGTAAAGGTGAAACGAAATAGAATGAATAATGGTTTAAAAATATCGTTCATAATCTTTAAAGATGATGTCCACTCCTGTACGCATGCGCGAACTTTGTTTACGTTTTGAACTGCTATATTTGTAAAATATGATAATACTAACTGAATATCTAACACTTTTCTGATTCGCTATGCTTGTAAATGAATATAAACTCTACGTTTCAATTCAAAATGGTTCGAAAGATGCAAAATTTGAGTAATGTTTATATCTGGGGTTCCTTTGTTATGAGCTGAACGGAGTGGAAATCATTTTACCGTATAGCACGCGAACAGGCTCTCAAGCTGAATTGAGAGCCTGCATTGATGACTAATAAATTTGAATATCTGCGTCTCAAATCGTGATGTGAAATTCTCATTGGTCAGATGCTATAATTTATATGTTTCCGCTGAGCTCTATAGGCCTATATGTCAACTGCTGAAGCACTATGCATAAAAAACACATTAACTGATCAAATTGGTCTTATCTCAAAGCCATCTTATCTCAAAGCACGAAATATTCTGTGTTGAGAAAACAGATTTAAAACATTGAAACTTTTGCGATCGTGACTAAAACACCACACGAGTGCATATATACGAGTAACATACGAGTAACACACAAGTACATACGAGTACATACGAGTAACATACGAGTACATACGAGTAACACACGAGTAACATACAAGTACACACGAATAGCATACGAGTACACACGAGAAACATACGAGTACATACGAGTAAAATACGAGAATTAGCACGCTTTCTTTAAAGTTTCTTTCACTTTCACACTTTCACTTTGGCTTCGTATTATGTTCATGTTGTAAATGCCTTATTGACATAGGCGTACGAGACAGGGGGGGAGGGGCAACTGCCCCCCAAAATTGTGAAAAACCAAGGAAATTCGGACAAACGCTAGGAAAAATCAAGAAAATTCGGGCAGATTTATGAGAAAATATGTTAAAATCAGGTTATTATTTCCTTACAATTCTCCATAAAAATTCAGGCAAACTTTCAAACCCCCCACCCCCAGAAAACATCAGCCCCGTTCTCCCATGCGTATTGATGGATTTCGAAGCCTCGCACGACGTAGAAAAAGTAATTAATTAATATATATATAGAATAAAGATTTGTATGTTCTAAGACTCTGAAAAGGTTTAAATGTAGTATATTGCTCACAGGCTGTCAGAGAGTTTTTGTAGTACATGAAAGTGCATGTTTGCCATGTTGTTTATACGTCTGTAGTCTATGTGTTTTGCAAATTTAATACGTGAATTGTACACCGGGAAATATAAAATACTTAGGGTTCATTATTTATCGGTTGGGGAGGGGGGAAGGAGCTGTTGGATTCTAAAATTCAAACAACATAATAAAAATGACCCTCCCTTTTAATGTGTTTAAAAATGTAGTCCACCCCTTTAGAACAGTCTGAAAATTTTTCACCCCCCTCCAACAATAAAGTTAAGAAGAACATAGTATGGCCGTATGGTAGTTCTTCCCATCCTATTCTTTTGTGTGCTCTTTACAACCAGGGGGGTAGAGAGGACCTTCAACTTGGGGATGCTGGACAGGATTTAGCCAACAGGGGGGGGTGCGAAATAAAATCTAAATCCACAATATAATTGTGTATAATCTTGTCTAAGTAAGTAGATATGGCCCCAAGAAGAAAGGGTTTACTTTGGGTTTTTAAATGTAAAATATATTTACTTTCAATCATCATTCGGTTTTAAAAGTAATTCGCATTATTTTAACCCATCATTTTCCATCACGAAAAATCATGTCTTTTATGCATTATACAGTTTTCGGACTTATGCAAACTCACACCCCGAAAATGCAGGAAATCGCATTTCAGGGACCCTAGATTTCAAAATATTCTGGGGAGCATGCCCCCAGACCTCCACTAAAATGGCTCCCGCCTTTTGCGCTGGCTACGCCACTATCTCTATACTATCTTCTTTATATCAATGCTATAAAATTTTATTGTCTCCCCAAAACACTTCTTCAAAAGATTTAAACCACTCTTTTTATTTTACACCTACAAAATATATCCCCCCCCCATTATTTTACCAGCCCCCCCCCCCAACCGATATAAATAATGAACCCTAAGTATTTTATATTTCCCTGTTGAAAACGTATTAACAGGTGTACAATTGACGTATTAAATTTGCAAAACACATAGGAGAACGGGGCTGATGTTTTCTGGGGGGGGGGGGTAGTTGAAAGTTCGCCCGAATTTTTATGGAGAATTTTAAAGAAATAACCTGATTTTAACATATTTTCTCATAAATCTGCCCGAATTTTCTTGATTTTTCCTAGCGTTTGCCCGAATTTCCATGGTTTTCCAAAATTTTGTGGGCAGTTGCCCCCCCCCCGCCCCCCTGTCTCGTACGCCTATGTCAATAAGGCATTTACAACATGAACATAATACGAAGCCAAAGTGAAAGTGTGAAAGTGAAAGAAACTTTAAAGAAAGCGTGCTAATTCTCGTATTTTACTCGTATGTACTCGTATTTACTCGTATTTACTCGTATGTTACTCGTGTGTACTCGTATGTTACTCGTATGTACTCGTATGTTACTCGTATGTACTCGTATGTTACTCGTATGTACTCGTATGTTACTCGTATGTACCCGTATGTACTTGTGTGTTACTCGTATGTTACTCGTGTGGTGTTTTAGTCACGATCAAAAATTCAAGGTACTTTTATATAATTAAGAGTCAGACAGTTTCTCTATTTAACCGATCAGCAAACAAAGATTTAATTAGTCAGTTCTGTGCACGGCTTGACTGCCAAGCTTTCTCAAGGTCTCAACTTGCTGGACGCGGATATACTCTAACGGACTAACAACAGCAACAATGAAATTCTCAATCGTACCACTTTTGCCGGCGAAGCCAGTTGGCAGAACGGCTTGGCTGTCAACAACAAGCTTTCGAATACATGACTAGTTTGGCTGTTCTTTCAGCGTCGTGTGTCCAAAATTCGTCCAAGATTTTGATAAAGCCCTTTCAAAATACTGTTTGTTTGATTTATTTTCTGCCATAAAGCATAAAAGAAAAGAAATTCAAAGAAATCGATGATGGAATTTGTTACGTGCGTTTGACCTTTATACTATTAATTGTCGCCTTGACCGAGCTATTTTTAAAACTGTTGTTTATGTAAACTTGCAACCAATCAAAATCCTTCATGATGCTGATCAACCAATCAGATTTCCCGTCCACCAGATGGACGGGAATCCCACAGTTTAGATAGGTTTTGTGTCAGGCCCTATTCTGTGATTAGGGCCTGAACTTCAGGTTACTTCCACTCCTACCACCACCATTCTCTGGACAAGCTATTTATTTTTTATTATTTGAACCTGGCAAGACGCAGTAGCCGATAGTTATATATAAACAATATAGTTATATATAAACAATATCGTATGGTCTTTATGAACAGCTGCTAAACAATGATATGACAACTATGTATAAGGGGCAGCGGGCAGTGTACTAACAACCCTCGGCAATATCCTGTAATTTCAATGCCTGAAGCAGTCTGCAGACAAAGGACTTTGCATTTTGGCAGGATATGTACTATATATAATACAACCATATACAGATACATACACTTAATGCTTCAATTCGGTTAGTTAATATTTAAGAGAGCTATATATGAGACAGTAAAGCACACACAATGTTGTGGGAGAAGGGTTGTTGGGGAGAAATGCTCCGAATATATACTTTCAACTGGTCAAAGTGTCACCCAACAGACTCACAGTTACTCTAATTAATGCCCTCGGGGGGTCTGGGTCCCCATATTGGGCTGTCCTCAGGGGGTCTGGGTCCCCATGTTGGACTCTAGTGTAATTAATGCCCTCAGGGGGTTTGGGTCCCCATGTTGGACTCTAATGTAATTACTGCCCTCAGGGGGTTTGGGTCCCCATGTTGGGCGGTCCTCAGGGGGTTTGGGTCCCCATGTTGGACTCTAATGGAATTAATGCCCTCAGGGGGTCTGGGTCCCCATGTTGGGCATGATATACTTCAATCTAACATTTTTAATGTATGGCACATCGATTTGTGAGTCTATGGGATGAGGGTGACCTATGGGAGCACTCCATCCCCACAAATGAGCAGCATGCACATTCCCCATAGACGAACTCCCTCCCCCTGAAAATTGACCAGAGATTAAATTTTTTGAGATAAATTTTTAAATATTGGCGAGTGTGGCTGAGACATTCAACAGTGTTGACGAAGGAAGTTGTATATATCTCTCATAACAGTCTGAGGACCACCGACCCAAAGTTTTTATGAGCCAGGAAGGTAACTTCGCTGTGGCTGCCGTAGTTGCAGCACCGATTCTGTAGCTATGACCGGCAAAGTTTGAAGCGTTGAATCCGGCTTGACTGAGTAATTTTCTTGTTTCAAGTGTTAGGGCCTGTTTTGTAAGTGGTTTACCCGCATAATTTACAAACAGAGGCCCTGATTTTGGCTGCCTTCTGGCTAAATACTGTTTCATGGCCAACACTGGGCAGAGAGGTGTGTGTGTTCCTCCAATACTTATGGTATGTCCCACCCGAAAGGGGTCAGTTTTGGATTCTTTTATCCGTATGGACATAGCAGTGGTTGGTTGTAGGTCGTTGGAAAAAACAACGTCTTTAGGCATGAGGTGCGAATCTGAATTGAATTTTGAGTTACAAGTTAACTCTCCAAGCCGCAGAAAGCCAAAAAATGCCAATGTTATGGCAGCCCAAACCATAATTGAGTCGAAATGTGTTGTGACAGGTATTGCTAGCATCATGTGAAAATGTTTTAAATGATGGATTGTTATTGGAAGGCGCACAAGGTTGACATCTGCTTGAGGCATTAGGAGTCGAAACCTTTGAAACTGGAAACGAGAAAGGGAATCAGCAATCTCATTATACTTTCCCGGTATGTGCTTGGCCCGAAGGTATATATTGTACTTTAAGGTCAACAGTGTGAGATGACGGAGAAGATCCATTACCCGGGAAATTCGTGATCGTTTGGAATTAATAATGTTGACAACTGATTCATTATCACAGTTCAGGATTATCCGTTTGTTTTGAAGGGCTTCCCCCCATATGTGACATGCAACTACTATGGCAAACAATTCTTGCCAAGCAATACTAATCTCGGGCTGTCCTAATTGTTGATGGGGTTCCCATTTTCCTTGAAACCATTTCCCCCCGAAAATCCCCCGTAGCCCAACACCCCCGATGCATCAGTGTGAAGCTCAAGGCATTCAGAGTTTTCCCATGCAGAAGACAAGAAAAAACTGGCACCATTCCAGTTAACGATAAACTGTTTCCACATCTCAGGATCCTTAAAAAAGCCTGCACTAAGCTTTATGTGGTGGTGGGGCTGTCTTATATTTCTTGTCAATTCAATCATTCTTTGTAAATAAGGGCGACCCGGTGGGATAACCTTGCATGCAAAATTTAAGGTACCTATAAGCGACTGAAGTTCTTTCAAAGTACATGACCGCCTTTTTTGGAATGTGTTGAAAACTGCTCGGAGGCGTTCAATTTTGTCATCTGGCAGCCGTGCTTCCATTCGAACGCTGTCCAGGATAATACCCATAAACTCTAACACAGTTGCAGGACCTTGTGTCTTGCCCGGGGCTACTGGGATGTTAAGGTTCTTAAATGTAAGCATCATGGCAGTTAGACTTTGTTGGCAAGTGCTATAATGTGGGGGCAGTTGGGATGGTGGCTCCATGATAAGAAAATCATCCAAAATATGACATACAAATGAAATCATGCACTTATTTTGTAAGATCCATTCAATAGCATCTGAAAGTTGGTTGAACAGATATGGAGCACTTCGTAGGCCGAAAGGTAAAACTTTGTCATAATAGTATTTCCCCTCCCAATACATACCGAGAAGCTCATAGTCGTCCGGGTGCACAGGAATGAGACGAAAGGCGGATTCAATGTCAGTTTTAGCCAGAAAACAGCCGTGGCCGAAACGCTTAATACCTTCAATCGCATTGTCAATTGTCACATAATGGAGACTAAAATCTTCCTTTGGAATTGATGCATTAATACTTGTTGCACCTGATTTTGGAAAAGAAAGATGGAAAATTGTTCGAAATTTTGTCGAATTCTTTTTTGGTACCAGGCCAATAGGAGAGACTTGGAAATTAGAAAAAGGTGGGGTCTTGAACGGACCAGCCACACGGCCAAGGGAGATCTCATGTTCCAAATTTGATGTTACAATATTTGGATGGGTAAGGGCAGTGGGCAAATTTTTTGAAAATCTAGGTGTCCTTTGCCCTTCAAAACCTATTCGGGCTCCATCCTTTAAATTTGAACATAATTGTGAAACAAGCGTTGGGTCGGGATGTCCCGCTAGAGAATCTTCTAAATTAGCTACAAAAATAGGTGTTAGTGATCTAACTACATTACTATCGTTTGTCTTGGTTGGAATGGCGCTGGCTGCTGGATGAATGGACCTTTCCTTGTTTTCTATATGGTTGGAGACTTTCGTTCTCTGTACAGTAAAGACCGGCATGTTCCCCGTCACAGCGATTGCAGATATGTCGGTACCTGCACTGCGCTCGTTTGCAAGCGCCGCTCCTATTGAAATCTCGGCAAATGCCCCCTTGTTCGGTCCCCGGGGTGGCATAGTGTTGGGGTCCTTTATGGAAAAGAGGGTATTCCTCTCTAAGACTGGCTGGTGGTACTGTAAAGGTCATCAACCATAATTGCTGATCTATTTCGGACCAGTTGAGGGATAGGTTAAGTGCAGCCTTCCGACGAAACTTGATGTCGTAAATACACCAACCCACCCCTTTGTGACAATGAGCAGCATGGCGAATAATGGTCATATATTGCAACAATTCCTGGGCTCTGTTAGGGAATTGATGCGTGAAAACGCTCATATAGGTGGTGAAGGCTGTTGTCCACTTATCAATGTCCGTGATATTTGTTGTGGACTGAGTGGACTGCTTAAATTTAACAATAGAGTTTTCGACCGTTAGTACAACGGGCTGTTCGTCTACCGTATTGCATAAATTTTTTGGCAAAAGTTTTGACAGCTCAAAAAACTCACCCGACTGGATCTTCTTCACGTACGATGCCGGTAAGTCGTGGAAAGATTGTCCGTATGGGAGATGATTACTAGCGGGAAGACACTGCGAAGAGGAATGTGGCGCTTCGGGCTCGAACGTTTGGAACCTTGGCGTCGAGATTGGCGTGGCGTGGTTTATCAACACTGGGCAAAGCTCCGTGCCCGTGGTTTGTTGTGGCTCATTCGTAGGCGCTGACGAAGGCGCAGTTGCCATGGCTTGTACTGCAGCACGAGCGGCGTTTGTGGCGATATCGTTCACCGATTGTTCGACCGTCTTTGCGACGATTGATTGAATTTGGGCCAACTGAGCGTCGTTCAGCAGAGGGCTTTCGCTTCAGCTTTCGCGTGGCACAGATCTTCGCTCGACGAGTGGTGTTTGCTCGTTGTTGTTCGCAATATCAACAATTGTCGCAGCTTCTGTGGCGGTACTGTTCGACGACGACGTTGAAGCATGTTGTTGCAGTCTCGCGACCAGCGTATTTCGACGACCATGGTCAGATAAACCTTTGTCTAGACATTGTTGTCGAAGATCGTTTACCGATGGCTGATTTGCATTCTCCGCGCGTTCTTGTACAGCTATGCGTTGGCGTCGGGCGGGAGGCATTGCCTCGTGAGAGATATATTACAAATTTAAGCAATTTTTTCGCTGTGAAGTGTCCTTCACTTTGGCTCACCGGCGACACAATGAAACGTGTAGCCCAGGCAGGAAGCATAAGCAAACAAAACTGTAGGACCTGATTGGTCTATTTTCCCGCGTGCATGGGAAGAAGTGTTTGACAGTGGTTCATTGTTATTTACCGAGTGCTTTGCACGTGAGTTGTCACGCGTTTTAAGACTGACCTTTGTGCCTAACCTGGTCTAATCAAAGGACTTTGCACAACTTTGGTTATATCCGAACGCTTGTTTCATTACCTTAAGTTTATAATGCCTATGGGCATGTATAAACTTGCTACACAGCAACCATTAGAACTGTTATGTAGCCAAGCAAAACTATAGCCAAGAAAAAGTCAACAGCCAAGCAAAAGTAGCTACTTTACAGTCGATATTGTTAGGAAACAACAAGAAAGTTGCTATATTGTATTTTAGAGGCAGTAATTGGACCTCTACAGGCGTTTGGGATTTTGCGGTGTGCAACTTTCTTGTAAGCCTTATTTAGTTATTGGTTTCTGAGATCTTCACATCGGTCTGAAAAGCAGACCTTGTCGTGAAATATTGTATAGTATAGGTGCACGGATATAGTGCATTTGGTGTTTTGTGTATTTTCTTTGTCAGTTCATGCACATGCATGTCGTGTAAAATTATTTCTTAATGATAGATATACGGTAGGTATGATTTGATGATGTCTTGTAAACTGAACCATCCCGTGAAATATGTGATAACTAATTTCGTTTGCATGTCATGTAGATTGCTATGTCCTATCTAACATTCTAACCCCACAGACAAATCTAGCTTCCTTGGTTGCAGAGCTTTTTTTGAAGGGGTAAATGGTCTAATGTTCTTTTACTGATCACTTTATCTACTTCAAAACGTGCGAAAGAGTAGTTTTGGAAGCCAGCTTTCTTGCCATGCAAATGTGCTTCACTCTTGTGTCAACTCAATAGCAAGTTTTTCGCGAATTATCGAATACTGTATAATAATTTCGCTCATCAGCTCTTCTAAAAATAAAACTTTTAAACCAGTCTTTAGTGCGAAACATATAATTTAAGCAATAAAATTAAAAATATATAGCTTCATGTAAAATCCACATTTTCCGACCGCCATTTGTCGGGAAATGGAATAATAATCACTTTTTCCGGCATGCGTTGCGATAGCTGGAATTGCTGTTTGGAGCCTTTTTGGACTGGCCAGTGGCCGCACATTTGGAGCTTACTTTCCGCACGTTGTCTGATGAACTTAAAGATGCGGTAAAGTCCGTTCTGCGCATATATTCTGCGCATCAAAACATTCCATCAGTGGGGGAGCAACCTTTGGAATGTTGTTAATATTTCGCTCTTTCCGAACTTTCTTGAATTGAATCTCTAGTCTGTATTCATTTAAATTTATATTGGCTGTGAATTTGCTTTGAAACGTTTTCAGAATATAAATAAGATAATATATTGAAGGTCATTTGTATCTGGAAGGTCATTTGTATCTACATAGTGAGCTAACATTAGTAAATCGCTCGATAACAAAGTCAGAACACTTAAACATACTTTTAAACATTAGATTAATAAGATTAAATTTTACCACTCGTTATTGTGACAATATTTGCTTGGCTGTCTATGTACGTATACACGAATAAAGAAAAGACAAAACGCATGACGAGACATGCAGTGGCCTTTGGATATAGAGACAAACGCATGTTCATACTCGTAACAATCTTAAATTAAGTAAATATTGAAACTTCAATAGCAATCTGCTGCTCTCCCTTATGCTATAAATGAAAGTCAGGTTTACACAAATACCTTTTATCAACATATAAAGAAACAATACCAATCTGGCCATCACACAACTTGCGTTATCATTTAGAGTAAACAATAGCTTGTTGCTGTATGAATCTGGTAAGGACGCACACGTTAACGCCACGTTTCGTAAATCACCAACACCAAGATATAAAATATTTAGTGCAGAGCTGTAATCTTCGCCCTCGTTTTCGATCAAATTCAAACAATCAAATGCGACGGTGTTGCCCAATAGTAATAGTCGCAGCTTGAGTCATCTATTTTCCCTGAAAGTGAGAAATATGTCAAGATACGTTCCGCGCGTGTTTTTATTATTTCCTTAACATCTTTGCAATGAATCTTGTGCCTTTGCCTGTTACTTATCTGGCAGTTTGAATCACAATAGAAAGCTTGATAGCATCCAGTGCAAGCTTTCAGATTTGGGGCACTTTTATTGCACGCCTTGCATGTCTTGTGGATCGACGCTGGAATGCATTCGGTCTTGTGTCGAAATATGTCATTTCTTTGACATTTTTTACTGCAATATTTGGCAACTTCACACAAGTTACAGAGAATGCCAACACCAACTGTATTTCCACAACGCCAGCACTCGGAAAATCTAGGCATTTTAGTACTGAGAATGTGGATATTTATACACGTCCGCACTTATTTTCAATACTATTGAGGATACGTCGCCGACAAACTGAATCACACATTTCGATGTTCCAGGAAAAACTGTTCTTGGAATTTAGCGAGATAATTTACACACGACCGGAAATTGCACGGAACAATGGCGATGTCTCTGAGCATTCATTAAATGGCACCGAGAGCGGCAGTAAAGAATCTTAAAATTCTCCCAATAAATGAAAAAACTTTGCCGAGTTTATCTTAAAATAAGTTGGTAGTTCCCCTCAATAATATTCAGTACTATAGTACACGTCGGCTTGTACAGTCTACACATCTTCAGTTGAGATGAGCTAGCTCGTCTTATGTGTCAATTTGTTGCCAGAATTTTCGATCGTGATGATATCTAGAACATGTCACATTTGGCACACTGCTGCTGTTGATGTGTCTACGATATGGGCAATTAATATTTAATGAGATAAAATTTAAAATCGTATGTGGTAAATATTATGACAATGGCGTGATTTTACCAAGTAAGGCCATGAGAACACGATTCACCACAGAATAGTGATCACACGGAAGTCCTATGATTTTGGCATAACCGTTGCAATGATGTCGCCATGTTCCTATAGCCACTACGAGAGGTTTCAATCCCCTGAAATTTTCAAAATGGCGGCCGTTCAAGGGGGTGAATGCCTCTCGTAAGCACAGTGGCTAGGAACATAGCGAGTGCGTTTTAATGACGAATCATTGCGTGGCGGCGGTTACACTTCTTTGGATCAATAATTTCAGCAATTGAAGTTATTGATCTAGTTAATTTAAATCATAATTTTAATTTGGGACCCATCAGCAAGGTTATTATACATTATGTCAACCGGGAAGGAAGCATACAGTATGTTCTATTGTACAAACTGCTGAGTACAGAAAAGATTAGCTCTGCATGCATGCATGCATGCCACCATACCCATCAGTTTTAAATGTGGTATAATTAATTCAGGTCTGTGTCAGACGGACATAGTTAGGTCAATACTACCTACTTAGGTTAATACCCTACACTGGTCTTTTTGCGATTCTTCGAAGTATGTTTGCACGTTTAAATGCACTTTATCAAGGGTTTATAAGATTTCCAGTTTCAGAATATAGATTCGTTGCAGTTCACCTTGATACAAGGAAAGACTGAAGGTCGTTATACAAGTTGTAATATATTCGAATTTTTGTCGCGGGTAAGTAAGTGCCATGGGTCTATAATACCTGCAATAATATTTTTGTTCACGCAGACATTTGCTTTTGTTTCTTGCTGTTTTAATTTTATTGGCGATTATTTTATTGAAATTGTTCTTTAATTCCTACCAACAGAAAGTAGATATTAAGTAGTAACAAATAGCGTATTTATCCATTTCAATTATCATGAACCACAATCTAATGATCACAGCGAAATTGAGAGTTATGACTGGCAATGCCACTATTGTTTAGTCTTTTTCCCTCCCGTTTGTTTTTAGGTCTAGTTTTCAGTGTCAAAATATTGGTTTTGTTTCCCTTAACTATTGTTATTATTATTTAATCTTATTTTACAACGGTAGGCCCTTAGTGAATTACGACTGATTTTCAATGGGCCGTTGCTTTCAGAGGCGAGTGGTGACTAGGTGGCTTATACCTACCGGTATAAGTATATACTATTAGTTAGTAATTAGGTAATAATTATACTATTAGTTAATATTGGGTAATAATTATACTATTACCCAACTCTTTCAATATAGGAATTTTTAATCGCTTTGAAGTATTACATTCAGTCACCATTCCTTCTCTCGATCTATAGGCATAGAATAATGCTCTAAGGTAATTGTAGAAATCACAAGAGTCATCAATATATTCTTGGATACTTGCAGGGTGGTCGTTTTGGGAGTATGGATAGTGATTCACGTCGGCTTTAGCAACTTTCAACATTTTCATTTTGAATGCTTGCGACATATCGGTGGGGCAAAATTCATCAGTCCACAACAGCGTTTCTGTGATAATCAATGCGTGAGTACTGCTGTGGTTCAGTACCTCGGAACACAGCTTCAGTAAAGATGGAAGAATGATATAATCCATTAAGTTCGAAGTCAGAATTCGATCATATAATGTATTCGTTTCTAGATGCTGTTTAAAGTCCATGCAATCACATAGTACAACCTGAAAACTGATTTGCTGTTTTGACAACTTTTTCTTGAAACTTCGTAAAATGCATTCGATATAATCACCAAACATTGTGACCAGACAACTAGAATTCTTTAATTTTTTTGTCTGCACGTAATCCCATCCAAAGAATGGAAGGCTTTCCGATTGAATAGCATAGGAAAAAGAGTCGTCACATGAGGTTTCGTCATATCCAGTCAAGGTTGGGTTTTCGGCAAATGCAGGCATGCTCATCGCGGTACGTCGGAAAGCTCCGTCTTCTTTCCATTTCTTTGCTGAACTTACATGTTGTTTTGGAATACTTTTAATAAACGATTCATTGACATAATGAGTTGGTTCACATTTTCTCATAATTTCGAACCGTTGCTTCTTAATCCAGTCTGTTCCTTGCACTCTCAAATGAAGCCACTTTTTCCAAACGTCTTGAAACTTCTTGAAGTGTTTTTCTTTAATCTTAATCATTCCAGATGTTCCTAACTTTAGATCCTCTGAGCTCCTGATGTTGATAAGCTCTTCAAGCGTGTTGGTGAGATATTTGTAGGTTTCTTCACTCAGTGACACTGAGTACCACAGTTCTGTGATCATCTTTTCTATGTCTGAATCACCTGTATGGAAAAATAAATGTTAACTTAGTTGCTTTACCATAATAATTTGCAGTGCGATTTCATGTCGAAATACCACTTCCCATGATCTATTGCAAGATCTAGTAAATATATATAAGTCTGATAACAATAACTTTGTCTTTTAACTTAACCTTTTTAATATTAGTTTTTAATTGTAATTATTGATCTTATTTGTTATGACTCAATGTAAATCCATTGTATTTTTAAATCCCAAAGGTGGATATTAATAAATTCAATTCATCTGAGTTTGATCCCCCAATATGCAGTTGTTTAATTTTCACAGGAGCAGTGAGTAGACAGTGAGTGAAATGTGATACGTCGAGCGCGATCAAAAGAGAAATATGTTAAAAATCAAATATGGCCATTTGGGTGCTGAAGCGGCAGGATTTTTCCGTGTACATGATTTTTATTGCCCTCTTAGTGTTCCAACGAAAAGCCATGTTTTCGAAAAAATCTCCAAACATTTTCCAAAATGATCGAAAACGGACAATGCGAAATTCATGTTTAAACACATAGCCTATACCTTTTATCAACATATAAAGAAACACCACCAGTCTAGCCAACACGCAACTTGCTTTATCATTTATCGTAAACAGTAGCTTGTTGCTGTATGTATCTGGTAGCGACGCACACGTTAACGCAACGTTTCGTAAGTCGCCAACAACAAGAAATAAAACGTTTAATGCAGAGCTGTAGTCTTCGCCCTCGTTTTCGACCAAATTTAAACAATCAAATGCGGGCGTGTTGCCCCAATAATAATATTTGCAGCAAGGCGAAAGTTCTCTTAAAATATCTTGCGCGAGTGTTTTTATCGTTTCCTTAACATCTTCGCAATCAATCTTGTGCCTTTTCCAGTTGTTTTTCTGGCAGATTGCGTCGCAGTAGAAGGCTTGATAGCATCCAGTACAAGCTTTTAGATTTGGACCACTTTTTCTACACGTCTTGCATGTCTTGAGGATCGACGCTGGAATGCATTCGGCCTCGTGTCGAAATACGTCATTTCTTTGACATTTTTCACTACAATATTTGGCAACACCACACAACTCGCAAATAATGCCAGCATCAACCGTATTTCCACAACGCCAGCACTCTGAAAACTTTGGCATTATGTGAAGAAGTTAAGAAAGTTAAGAGGTCGTAGCAACCGCCACGTCGGCAACAAAATCATATTTCGAAACTCTTCTCACATTTCGAAATTCTTCTCACATTTCGAAATTCTTGGAAGAACCATTGTCGTCATGACTATTAATAATATTTATGACGAAAAGATCAGGACTCATTGATCAATTCGAGTGACAGTAGCATGTCCAGACCACAGAGTTAAACCCAATGCATATCCTGACCACAAAGTATTGCGGGGTGTACAAAATTCGTCTTTGTTATATATATATATATATATATATATATATATATATATATATATATATATATATATATATATATATATATATATATATATATATATATATATATATATATATATATATATATATACTGAAGACTATATTCAAAAAAATAGTCGATGAGTTGACGTAAGGTAGAAGAGCGCTCAATACCATAATAAGTAGAGCGGAATTAATTCAGTCAAGGTTTGAATGTTTGCGTCGCTACTCTGAGTTTCACGCTTTACGCGATCATCAGGCAACTGACAGATATTATTCAATATTCATAATAAATATAGGTTATCATTTTACAACTTGATTAAGCAGGTATCTGGTTACATGTCTACATTTGGAAAACAAGTCAGAGCGTTTGTTCAGGCATTCAGTTTTCTTCGCTTTCATAATAAGTAGTTTCTCCTCGAGGCATAAATTACACCGTTTAGATCCTGGTTTGTATGCTTTGACTTTCTTCATAATGGACCACTTTATTGTATACTGACTTTTTTCTGACTTCAGTTTCCAGACGTACTTGGACAGTTCGGTGTTGCTCTTGTATTCCTCATGTCGGAAAGACTTAGTGTGATTGCGGTATCTTGTTTTGAAATCGCCCGCCGTCATGCCAATGTATATTTTCTTTTCCTGGTTGTTGGCAGTGCTGGTTGTCACTTCGGCTTTGTATACGATGCTCTTAGTAAGACATTTTTTACCAAGTGGACAGTTGGCGGGTTTTTGGCAGTTGCACATTGGCGTGTCGTTTTTTGTAGGTGTTGGTATTACCGTTGGTATGGGTGATTGTATTACCCTAGCAGTTGGCGTTCGTTTTGTGTTTCGGTTGAGTATATTACGATTATGTTTACGGATGAGATTTTTCATGTTTGTCATGCAACTGTAACTAACACGGACTGTGTGGCGGTTGAAAAGTTTGTGCAGTTTGTTTGAGGGAGGAAAATGCTTGTCAATTAGGTTTAGGCATGTCTGTGCTACATTGGTCTTAACGTTCTTGCTATAAGGGGGGTTGTACCATGTAATGTTTCGTTGTCTGTTTCGTTTATCGGAGTTATTAGTGTTGTTTTGAGTTTGTGTGTATGTTAGGTTAACGTCAAAGTTGCTTTGCTTCAGAGCGTTGTTGTAAAGTGGTGCTGCTGCGTTGAATGCTTCTTCGTCACATGATAGTTTGTTAATGCGTTTGTTGACTGAGTGTGGAAGTTGTCGTGTGATGGAAGGTGGATGGTTTGATAATCTGTTTATGTACAGTGGTTCGTCATTAGGTTTTCGGTATGGTTTATATTTACCGTTTGATAGGTCAAGCGTCAGGTCAAGGAAGTTCACGCACTTGATGTTTGTCTGGGTGGTGATTCTGAGGCCAAAGCTCTCAAAAATGGTGATCAACTCTTTCCTCGCCTTGTCCGCAAGTCTGCCTGATGTTGTTCTGAGGGCTAACCATGGGAAGTTTCGATGGCGCTGAGGTCTGTGAACTCGTCGGACTTTTCATTCTGAACACACTCGAGAAACGCTTTGGGAAAGACGTAGGCCTATACCGTGACGACGGCTTGGCTGCCCTCAGAACAACATCAGGCAGACTTGCGGACAAGGCGAGGAAAGAGTTGATCACCATTTTTGAGAGCTTTGGCCTCAGAATCACCACCCAGACAAACATCAAGTGCGTGAACTTCCTTGACCTGACGCTTGACCTATCAAACGGTAAATATAAACCATACCGAAAACCTAATGACGAACCACTGTACATAAACAGATTATCAAACCATCCACCTTCCATCACACGACAACTTCCACACTCAGTCAACAAACACATTAACAAACTATCATGTGACGAAGAAGCATTCAACGCAGCAGCACCACTTTACAACAACGCTCTCAAGCAACTTTGAGGTTAACCTAACGTACACACAAACTCAAAACAACACTAATAACTCCGATAAACGAAACAGACAACGAAACATTACATGGTACAACCCCCCTTATAGCAAGAACGTTAAGACCAATGTAGCACAGACATTCCTAAACCTAATTGACAAGCATTTTCCTCCCTCAAACAAACTGCACAAACTTTTCAACCGCCACACAGTCCATGTTAGTTACAGTTGTATGACAAACATGAAAAATCTCATCCGTAAACATAATCGTAAAATACTCAACCGAAACACAAAACGAACGCCAACTGCTAGGGTAATACAATCATCCATACCAACGGTAATACCAACACCTACAAAAAACGACACGCCAATGTGCAACTGCCAAAAACCCGCCAACTGTCCACTTGGTAAAAAATTTCTTACTGAGAGCATCGTATACAAAGCCGAAGTGACAACCAGCACTGCCAACAACCAGGAAAAGAAAATATACATTGGCATGACGGCGGGCGATTTCAAAACAAGATACCGCAATCACACTAAGTCTTTCCGACATGAGGAATACAAGAGCAACACCGAACTGTCCAAGTACGTCTGGAAACTGAAGGCAGAAAAAAGTCAGTATACAATAAAGTGGTCCATTATGAAGAAAGTCAAAGCATACAAACCAGGATCTAAACGGTGTAATTTATGCCTCGAGGAGAAACTAATTATTATGAAAGCGAAGAAAACTGAATGCCTGAACAAACGCTCTGACTTGTTTTCCAAATGTAGACATGTAACCAGATACCTGCTTAATCAAGTTGTAAAATGATAACCTATATTTATTATGAATATTGAATAATATCTGTCAGTTGCCTGATGATCGCATAAAGCATGAAACTCAGAGTAGCGACGCAAACATTCAAACCTTGACTGAATTATATATTATATATATTATATATATATATATATATATATATATATATATATATATATATATATATATATATATATATATATATATATATATATATATATATATATCTGTGTGTGTAATGATAGTTTTGTGTCGGGCCCGCAGTAATTGGCTATTCGCTGTTGCGGTCACCCAGCCGTGGTCATGATGAGGAGCCAGACAGCTCCATATTGGCAGCTCCAGATTGGCGAATCTGGAGCCAGCTCCAGATACAATTTCAATCTGGAGCTGGAACGACTAGTTTGTAAACAAACTGCTTTGGACGCTGAACTACCGATGGATATTCAATTTTTTTGAAAGACCATTTTTACTTGACATATTTCTTAGTATGTGATGGAAAATGAAGGCATTATTCCGTTCCGTTCGTGCATGGTAGCTTCTGAAAGATCACTGTTTTTTCTGACAAAGGGGCTGGTCAGCGGTCGGATAGATCGCAAAGCTCGTTTAAAACCTTATTTTGTTACCTTTATAATGAAAAACTTAAAAATTTGATCGATGACCATTCTGGAGAATGTATTCAAAAGTAAATTCATGCAGTCAACTTATTCCTACATCGCGAAACCGCGATAAATAACTCGCGCAAAGTTGAACTGTCTAATTTCGCGCACGGCCCGGCTGTGTTAATTTTATCCTTCCGTGAATACAACAACTTTGGTATCCGTAAATTTACGCTTTCGAGGAGTAAGAAATTGATATGTTGATGACATAATATCATTTGTTGCGCTTTTCTGAGGCAATTGATAAAACTAGAATAGTGAAGCGAATAGTGCGAATAGTCGACGAATAGTACGAATAGTCCGCGAATAGTCGACGAATAGTGCGAATAGTCGACGAATAGTACGAATAGTCCGCGAATAGTCGACGAATAGTACGAATAGTCGACGAATAGTGCAATAGAGACTTTGCAAGGCTTTCCACCGTGCTGCAGAACTAAATTTACCGGGGCGGGGGGGGGGAGGCTCTATTGACAAACATGAAATCGTGAAAACATTCGTTGATGTCAATGACGTCATACGTAATCGGTAAAAATTACGGGACCACTGAGTTTTAACAAATATTTAACAGGAAGTAGAATGACAATCACTAGAATGACGTTTTCCACTGGGCGAATTTGTTCGCGCGAAGCGACATGTAAAAGAGTAGGAACTGATCCAACTTTTTCGCAGCGAATTTTTTCGCTGACCAATCACATTGCCGAAATTTGGTTTTCATTTCGCGCGAACAAATTCGCCCCAAAACAGGCTTAAATAATAAATCGATACCTTCTCTTGTTTCGTGATGTAAATCACGTTTTCCAAGCACACGAAATCACTTAAGCCCTTAAATCTTCAGTTACAACGTCACAACTTACAAGTAAAATTCCTATAAAATTCCATCAGTAAAATTCATGACTCATATGGTTACCACTTACCATTAGGAATGATTATAAATTAAAAAAATATGAAATATGTTTCCTGACGATGACTGGATTTTAGTCGAAAGCTAGAATATTAAAATGTTTATTTTCGAAGTTACCGTTGTTTTATATTTTATTAAAATACTCAGTGGTTCCCGTAATTTTTACCGGTTACGTATGACGTCATTGACGTACGTCAACGAATGTTTTCACGATTTCATGTTTGTCAATAGAGCCCCCCCCCCGGTAAATTTAGTTCTACAGCACTGCTGCAAAGCCTTGCAAAGTCTCTTTTGCACTATTCGTCGACTATTCGTACTATTCGTCGCCAATTCGTCGACTATTCGTACTATTCGTCGACTATTCGCGGACTATTCGTACTATTCGCGGACTATTCGTACTATTCGTCGACTATTCGCGGACTATTCGTACTATTCGTCGACTATTCGCAATATTCGCACTATTCGCTTCACTATTCTAGTTTTATCAATTGCCCTTTTCTGAAGAACTAACGATATAAACATGTTTAATATCCGAAACACACAACGCAGACGAGATCGCTAGAAACGGTGTTATTATGCGGCTCAAGTCGTCGAAAGGCCATAGCATGTCAAATGCGTCTAGCATCGTCTAAATTGCTTCGCAAATGTCTTGCCAATTTCGCCCTGCCACAAATTTCTAAAAGATGACCCTTCTAGAGAAATATTCATACTATCATATTTTACAGCATTTGAAACTTTAGGATGCATATCCACCATGAGCAATTCATGAAAACACTAGCATTCGTTACCGAGGTGAGAAATCAACTTTCAAGAGATGTGAAATATTACACCTAAACAATATTCCGTGTTATCTGGCACATGCAAGACATTTAATAATCTCAGGGGAAAACCGTATTAATTATAATGTCGGCATGCAAATGCAATGAGGATTGAGGACATGGCAAGGCATTTAAAAGTGCCGAGGAATAGGAACAAGGCAATTTTCCTAGTTTCGGTATGCGCTGTATTTTTTCAATACATGAGAAAACACGACGCTTTTTCACAAAGATAAAATATTTTTAAAGCATGCGTAGCCGCGTAGGTTTGAATTTCCGATTGCGCTGATCATGTTAAATTAATAAGGAAAGCTTAAAACACACCCCTCATATTAATTACTTATACGGGCAAAAACGATGTTTTAGCTTATGTGTTGAAAAAAGAATACAGCGTATATAAACCTATGCATGATATTACGGTTAATACGGTTTTCCCCTGAGATTATTAAATGTCTTGCACGTGCCAGATAACACGGAATATTGTTTGGGTGTAATATTTCACATCTCTTGAAAGTTGATTTCTCACATCGGTAACGAATGCTAGTGTTTTCATGAGTTGCTCATGGTGGATATGCATCCTAAAGTTTCAAATTAATGCTGTAAAATATGATAGTATGAATATTGGACGCATTTGACATGCTATGGCCTTTCGACGACTTGAGCCGCATAATAACACCGTTTCTAGCGATCTCGTCTGCGTTGTGTGTTTCGGATATTAAACATGTTTATATCGTTAGTTCTTCAGAAAAGCGCAACAAATGATATTATGTCATCAACATATCAATTTCTTACTCCTCGAAAGCGTAAATTTACGGATACCAAAGTTGTTGTATTCACGGAAGGATAAAATTAACACAGCCGGGCCGTGCGCGAAATTAGACAGTTCAACTTTGCGCGAGTTATTTATCGCGGTCTCGCGACGTGGAAATAAGTTGACCGCATGAAATTACTTTTGAATACATTCTCCAGAATGGTCATCGATCAAATTTTTAAGTTTTTCATTATAAAGGTAACAAAATAAGGTTTTAAACAAGCTTTGCGATCTATCCGACCGCTGGCCATTCCCGTTGTCAGAAAAAACAGTGATCTTTCAGAAGCTACCATGGACGAACGGAACGGAATAATGTTTTCATTTTCCATCACGTACTAAGGAATATTGCAGCTATTTGTGAATGAATTGTTCTCGTAAGGAGATATTTACCATGTTCCGAAGAAATGGGCCCCATATATAATTTCTAAACTGATTAAATGATGCTCCCATTATGCTTTGCACGCTTAGAGTTAAATGTTTAAGCTTTAAAGCCTGTTTGTTTCTGCTTGGAACAAAGGGTCGTTCGTATCTTAGTGCAAATGGTAACTGCACAGGAGAAGATTTAGTAAAACCTATATAATTTTTAGATGCCGTTTATTTATGTACAGTTATTCCATATCGTCGTTTAGAAATGTTTGAATTTTCTTGTTCAAATTTTAATGCTCTTGTTGATACATCAGAAAAACTAGTAAGAACTCGCTAAAAACATTTTGAAAGAGATTAGATTGTTTTATTAATTAATTTATTTCAAAGTCTTAAATGAATTTAGAAAGTCATCAAAACAGTCTTACGTCCATTCATAGTCATTCATCATCCGAACGAGCGCCATTGAACCGCGCCGTTGTGGAAAGCCGCATTGAATTGCTTGATTTTCAAGCCTTTGGCTTTGCCAAAATGCCTAAATTTGTTTCGTTTTGTTGACAAAATAAATTATTGACTCTCCAATCACTTAAAATACTATTATTCGCGAACAAATGTATCGAGTTTAAGAAGCAACCTACCGTTGGAAAGCTGAATGGCGTTAATAGACCTTATGCATAATGACGTCACAAGGCTTGATGCCCGCGAGGAATGCTGGTTTTAGTAGTCATCGCCTGGGAAAATTTCGATAGTGGCCATTTTGAATTGTTTAAATTTTACGGCGATGACTACTAAGAATAGCAGCATTCCTCGCGAGCATCAAGCCTTGCGACGTCATTATATGCATAAGATCAATTGCTCTTTTATTCGTTTCAAAATTTACATTTGCATCGAGGACTCGTAGCTGTAGATAAATTGTGTAATATTAATTGGTATTAATTTAGATTGCTGAAGACAAAATTCGCAATGATATTGCTGATGGCTTGACAAATGTTTGCAAGACTACAACATGTACTTTTGTGGATAACACGGGCGGGTATGTTTAGCGGTTATATAACATAAGTCATCTTGTAATCATTGATGAATGTCCCAAAAATACCCCGCACTATACATTTTGCAGCTCTACTACTCTAACGTTGGCTTCAACTGATTAAAAAAATAAATACCCGACCATGCAATTGCCTTCTGGTATCACTTAGGACGGCGACACAGCGATATTCAACCTTATTCAAAATATGAAAATTGGATTAACAGTTATTTGATGTAATATTTCAAATCCGACTATGAGGACAGGACTAGATTTCAAGTCCGCTCAATTTGATCAAGTCCGAGGCGTGTGACATCTCATACGAACAAATCACAACTTAATTTTGATCCAGTGCAATGACTGAATTAATTTTAATCCAGTCCTAGGACTGGATCAATATACTTCACCAGGTATCTATTATTATCGTGAGCAAAATAAGGCAAATTTACTCATGGATGTTTATGAGTTTGAGATTCGTTTGTAAGGGATTCTCGAGAGAATGAATGTCTATCTTCTGTAAAACTGATAATTATCGTTTTCTAACCTTGGGGTACGTCTCATGTCAAAAACTTTTATAGAGAACTTTAGACCTTACGCGATGTGAGACGGCAACGTTACGACGACGGTTATTCATACAACGAGATTCGTAATATTTAAGAAAAAAATGAATAATTTTAAAATATCCCACGGGAGTTTGAGACCATGTTTTGGTAATAAAATTTTCCGGACAAGAACGTTATAATTGCTTTCGTAGCACTTTTTCCGAACTAGCAGTCGGCGGGCCTGCGTCTATGGAGGTATTCTTGACAACGAAGATTCCGACAACATTACCAATTTTCCAACGCGTCTCAACAATAGGGGGGGCATGGTACCCCCAGTCCTCCCCCCCCGGCCACGGCGTCATTGGTCAGGTCTCCACTACAAACCTGTTGCGGAAAAGAAAGCGGGTAGAAGATGTTTTGCTGTAAAGCCTTGCTCAATCAAGAACGAGAGTTGTTTAGAGTTTATAGGGGTTGCAACTCAGCGTTCTTCATCGCCAACCCTCATCGAGTTTACACATTTTCAGTAATGTTGAACCATAGCCTATCAAACGAGAGATGGCTGTGAAACTCGTTAGAATCATATATATTTCATATACACTAGATAGCGCATCTCTTTTAGCAAATTGAAGCCAAGAATATTCCAGCGGTTACCCCCAATTGAATAGATGGCGGCCATGTTGGTCGTTCCCACTTGCTAATGAACGCTAAAGAACAACAATAACTTTCATCATTTGAATAGTTTAAAAACGTATTTGGAATAGGGTTAACTTAATGTTTAAGTTCCCTGTTTAAGAAATAGAAAATATACGAATCTTCTCATTACCAGGGAACGACCTGAGACTGCAATCACGGCTTCAATTTTTGAATTGCAGAATAATTAGATGCACTATCTAGTGTATATAAGATATCTATGGTTAGAATAACAATGTAACTCATTAACTATGTCGGTCAACCATTTAAACTCTTGCACTCCACTTTCATGGATTTTCAAGTACCTTCATCAACGTTTATGCAAATTTTGTTCTCGTTTGAATAGGACATACAGTAAGATCGAGTTGCGAAAACTGCCATACAACACCTTGCGTGCGAAACTCTGATTCAATATTTTTCTCTTGCAGTCGTAAAAGGCGCGATGTTGCCAGCTATAAATTCCAAGCGGCACATGTTGTTGTCGTGAGCATTAAAGAGAATTCAAACAACGTAAATGCAGAGACAGAGGTTAAAATTTTTGTCTTGGATCCGACCTCCGACTCTCTTCTGCCAGAAAAGGCATTCTCGTCCGAAACTCTCAAAAACGTGATTCTCGAAATGCCAGAGAGCGACTTGCCTTATACCCTGAAATCGGTAGATGAAGTGAAACCACATCAAAGCAGTTCAAGTAAAGACGACAGCGGTTTAAACATTCCGGTTGTCGCTGGTGGTATTATGGCTGTTGTTGTACTCATTGGTCTTGTCTTTGCTATTTGTTTGTATACTCGACGTCGTCACAAGAACAATAGGTATATTTTCTTACACACGTAGGTTGGATAGAATAATAGACTGATAGAATAATAAACAATTATTGGATGAGGCTGAGCATGATATCAAGAATTATTCAGACCGCGGTCAATGTTATCTGCCGAAGCGAACCTGAGGCGGATAACATTGACCGAGGTCTGAACTCTGAATAATTCTTGATGTGACGCGAAAGCCGAATCCATAATTGTTTTATTATACATTTACTGTCGATGCAATAGAAGTGTTGATAAAATATTGCATCAATTCATTTCCTCAAGTTGATCAATTCATACGAATTCAAATTTCTTTTTACTTCCTGTGCGTTTCCTATTGGTCAATCGGTTCTGAAACGAAATGTAATTGGCTCATCTAGAAGTAACAGGAAGTTGATCAATTTTATCAACACTTCAATTATATCGACAGTAAAGATATCAGAAACGTATAAAACTATTAATTAAACGAAGTTTATTAATGTTTTATTATATTTAATTTACAACAATGCTGCAATAAAGTAGAAAACGAACATTTCTTTTAGTATCTGTAGAACGAAAATATTCGTCAAAGATAGTTTTGTGGCTTCCTTACTACTATCACCGTCTTTATCTGCTAATAATTTTGACAGGTCGTTTTCATCCAACTATCAGCAAATCTACTGTGAGCCATTTTGTCTATTTTATTTTCGCGCGCTTTTGTGTTCGAGTTGTTGGCTGCGCCGGAGCTTGGACACCACAGCATTTCAGATTCTTAATTTTAAGAGAAATAGATTTAAGAACGATTTTAATTATTAATTGTAAGGCATGTAAATACGTAATTGAATCGAACTAATTTTTAATACGGTTGGTCGACCTAACTTTTAAATACTTGTACAACTTGCCCAATGCTCTTCCAACTGAGCTACGCGGTCAGGACGGTTCGAGTAAGTGATATTTCGGAACAGAATCTAGTTCCTTCAATACCAAAGTATTCTAGTAATATGAATTTTTTTTGTGCTGGTGTAGTGTTCTCAGGTGAATACGATATTTGTGGTGTTACTCTGAGTGTATATCCACACCGGGCGAGCTTGAAAAATATGCCCGGCCACGGTGGGATTCGAACCTACGACCTTTCGAATACTAGCCCTTTCAAGCTCGCCCGGTGTGGATATACACTCAGAGTAACACCACAAATATCATATTCACCTGAGTACACTACACCAGCACAAAAAAAAAATTACTTGTACAACTTAATATTATTCAGCCGACGTACAAGGCCTAGGCTGCGAGTCTAATCTATCTATTTAAAAAGGCCGGGAAAAATGACTAATTCACTAGCTTATTATAGAATCTAGCCCCTCTGGCTATAAATGGAGACTGGTGCTAATTAGTGAGCGATAGGGGTACCCGTATGTGCATGGTTCGCTGATCTTAAACTGTGTTTGTATACTGTAAGGTGCTTCCAATTAGAGCTTGCGAAGATGAATGAATGAATGTTAGATTTTAAAATGTTCTTGTATTCTGTAACTGTGAGATCATCTCTAGCTACGTTCCAATAAAGCCGGAATAGTGTTTAGAGGCAGACATACTGTATATCTATGGACACTTGTACTACACTCTCTGTAGTTCTAGTAAAACGATTGACAAACAAACCTGAAGTTTTATTTATTTATCTTTTAAAACTTATTTAACAACGATAGCCCTTTCCAAGGTGATTTGTGTATACACACAATATCACGACTAAATTTATTTATACATTATTAAAAATAAAAATTAATATTGAATGTATAACGTATTTAGTGCCGGTTGCATTGAAAATGTCATAATATGCACGTAATGTGCTTGTCTAAGAAAAATTCATTTTGAGTAATTCTAGATATTTCATACGAAGTTGATGAGAATTGAAAAATTTCCTTATAAAGCACGCTAGTTAACCGAACAACATGAAAACTGTCTCAACTGTCCATTAATAATATGTTGCTGTCCAATATCGTAAAATATTGGATCGGCAGGTGACTCTCTCAACGATTACTGATTGGTTAAGTGCGCGTGAATGTATAATAATGTCCGTTGACCAGCCGTTATTTCAAACCATTATATGAATTCGCATTATTTTCTAATTGTATACTATAGGTGTATTTTACTTAAGTTGTACTTATTACAATGATCAGTCTTAATTATTTTCAGTTTTTATTTTAAGGATAAGTAGAATTTCAACATTTCCGAAGCTAGCCACCATGTGCTGCCCTTAATGCTCACTAAAACCTGCCAATTTTTGGAGTCAACCACTTTCATTTCAAATCTGTTTTACTGAATTCTAATTTTTCAGCACGGTTCCTCCAGTTCAGTTCAATAGCGCTGGAGGTGGAAGAATGCAGATTGGTCAACATAATCCTGCTCAGCTCTCCAATCACTACTATGAAGACCCCGAAAAAATTCGAAACGATATTCATCGTGGCTTCACAGACCATGGTAAACAATGAATATACTTTCACGTGTCATGCTCAACATTTACAGACATGCCTAAAGTACATTTTTTTGTTTTCAATATTGTTATACAACACGCGGTCGCGAATTTTGTATGTTGCTTGTGTTTTGACTTGATGAAAACGTTCGTAAGGACACTCCTGAATATGCTGGCAGTTGCAATGAAAGCTATTCAGTTACAATGGATTACACTGTCCTCCGCGGTTTGAAGCCATTGTTTCATGCGCACTTAACAAATTCGGGGAGTGCTTATTAGTATATATTTTTAAGCACATTAATGATATTTGATAAGAAAATAAGCCTAGATTTTGTGCAAAACTTTCTATTGGATTGTAGTACAAGTTCATTCACGGTCACTCGTGATTTGTTGTTCTCTTCATGAAGTAATAGTGATTACGTTTTTACAGTCTACGACGATGTCCACAATCCCCCACCTTACTACGAGAGTTCCCCTGTACATAAACCAGCCGTTTATGAGACCCGTCCCCCTCATGTCTATGAAATACCCGACGAAAAACATGGTGACCAAGCATGGCCCGCAAAGGACAAGATGCCCGCCGGTGCTGTGGTTTACCTTATCCCTTCAAAAGATGCAGCTCGTGAAAAGCCCGTTGAAGCGGACTTCAACATGAAGTTCGGCCATATAAAACGTTCCCAACCTAATGCGTACGTGGTGCGTGACTACGAGGTGCCTATTAATATACCTGGAGTTCAGCGTCCTGCCAATCCGCATGATGAATCTGAATTGAAGTGAGTATAGATGTTTTTGTGTTGTCTTGAGGTGTTGTTGTTCAACGAGTGATTAGGTATTTGCCTTCAAATCTCTGTGACTATATGGTTTGATAAATCGATTCCCACAATATTCACTTGGATTTAACAATACTGATCAATAAAGGAAGGCTGGAACTGGAACTTTAGGAAGAAAAGTTTATAGCTCGATAGACGTATATCGCATAAATAAAGTTACCATATACTGAGGCCGGTTGTATAAAAAAGTGATTAAAGTTAATTATAATTAAGTGGAAACGTCATCCAATAAGAAGCGTCTATTTGAGAGTTAATCACTATTTAACTACAAAATAGTGATTAAAAAAGTGATTAAGAGTTTTATACAGCTAATTAAGAATAAATAATGTTAGTTCAGTTTAGGTTTCTTCTCCAGTAAAATTCTTGCAAAAAAGATGGTCTTTGTTGGGCATCATGGAAGAACAACTTTGATAAAGATATCCAGCATAAATGCAGTTAGTTATACTGAATCTTTTAAATGTTTTCCAGATTAAAACCACCGCCGAAATCCGACGATATTAAACTGCAAGTCATGCAAGAAAAAACAGCCTCCTCCATTTTGCCAAATGTTCCTCGAAGGAAGAAAATTAATCGCTTGGATTCGAACCCCAACGAGGCCATGGGAAGCGAGAGAGCGTCCCGTTCACATTACCAGAATGTTGGCTATGTCACGAACGAGCAGAGCGAAACCTAGGACGGTCATGTGAGACATTCCTTCAATCCGATTGGATAATTAAATTTTGACTTAAAAGTAATTCTTCATATGTAATCAGTTACTTTGTGCATGAAATGCACATGATTTGCACATGTAACAAATATCGTAAACACACGACTTTCACATATATAATGTATCATAACTCCATCATTTTTATTTCTACTATATATACGAATGCTGCTACACATTTGTTATCTCCTGGATGCGAACTCAACGAGTTCATATAGGAAGCAATGGAGCATCCCGTTCACATTACCAGAATGTAATTGACTAAACGAAAGAGCAAAGGGAAACCTAGGACGGTCATGCATGCATGTGACAGCTACATTTCTTAAATCCGATATCAACCGATACAAGGCAATATCAGGATATTGTCATATTGTTTCCAGTCCTGATTGTAAAATTGTTGTAATTTTTTTCTCTTTCTGTAGTCTTTTTTCTATAATCCATAATAATTTAAACTGTACTAGTAAGATGCACCTGAATATCGTAACGATTTCATGATTTGAAATTTCTTTATTTATTTACGTGTCTTTCGCCTCGATTGCCATGCAGGCTTGCGTTCCTACAATTTGCATGCAGGTACATGTATATTTATTCTGGCAGGTTCAGTATAATTTATATATACGTTACCACAAAAATAATATTGTACTCCTATTGGTCAATTAACGCATTCGTTTACAACAATCATAGCCTACACGTAGGCTACACGTATAGGCTAAGATTTACACGCATCTGTTTTAACAACTACTTCATCCAATCGAAATTTTGCTCCCTCCTTAGTTTCTGCGTCTTGGAAATTGATATTTGGAACTGGATACACTTTACTTCTAAGGATCTGTTACACTATGTAACGTACTTGTCTCGCAATTTGTTGCGACAACAAAGTTGCGATACAAGTTGAACGCGGAATTGAAAATTGTAACATGCGTCTCAATCATCAAGTCTCGCGTAACAATTTTGTTGCAACAAGAATTAGAATCAGGTTCTACTTTTCGCAATGATTGCGGCAACATTGCGATGCATTTCTAAAGCATTGCACAGTGTGACATCTCTTGCAATTTGTTTAGGTAATGGCTTCTTTAACTTGGCTGACTTGATCTCAGTCACAGAATAAAGACATACAGAATTGTAACTTCCATTACAAAACCGTAAGGCGCTTTTTTACCGAAATAGCTGTCGGCCATGTTCTTAGCAGGTGCCCTAAAGAGAAGCATTCACCCCCCTGGAATATTAAATTTTCAATATGTTTTCATGGGGGGTGACTGTCTCTCTTTAGGGCACTTGCTATGAACATGGCGGACTGAAAAAATCCCTTACGCGAAATTAACCTGAAGTGAGATCTCTGTATGTACTTCCCCCGTGTCTCAGTCGACCTCAACGGCCATTGATTATGCTTTAATTTAAACCATGATCATTGCAAGTTGCACGAACTGATATATTGCTTGGTGTAACATCGCTTGCAATTTTTGAAATCGTTTATAAATATTTAAAAAATAAAAAATAAATTTATTTATAAAATAAACCTAATTGAATGGAAGATGGACTTATGCAGCATGTAAAATTATACAAAATGTCAAAATGGCATCAAATTTGAAACTGTTCTTATACAACTGTGAGTAGTTTCACTCAGTTACCAAATGTTCGAGTTAAATTTAAAAAGGGTTTATAGGCAACGGAATTTCTGGCTAGCTTTTTCTGTTTGGATTGTAAATAACGCAATTGCTTAATTTATATTGTCCATCTGGAAGGGAACTAAATACATGAAATATTTAAAAAATAAAGTACGTGGAAAAAAAAGCAACTAAAAGTGTTAATCACGCTTGTTGCAGTTACTCTTGGTGGGGATGAGCAGCATTTTCATTTATGTAAAGCGAAAAACAAAGATCATTTGCTGATATATTTCGAATTTAGTTTTATCATAATTCTACGCCTCGACTAAGATCTGCAGTCCTCCTCAGTTTCGGAAGTATGAAAGCAAGCCACTCTCCTGGCTATAAACTTTTATTACAAGTTGTATAAAATTATATACAACTATAGGTTACGCGTCAGGCAACTACAAGATATGCTGTTGAACCGATTAATTAGCCTTTCTCACACCGCCATTTTTTGGTGGCTTTTGATGACTATACTATAGTCTGTCTATACAAATTGGCGATTGGCGGCAAGTATACATATGTTATTTTCAATTAGTGTTTCTTTAAATAATGAACATGCATGCAAATAATTCATGACTGAGTTGGTTTAGGGAACAAAAAATAGGCACCATTATTTTAGCCATATAACTACTCCCTGCGGCCGTTTGTTCAAAATGCAGTATTTTAATTAAACGGTGTTTTTGTCAGCTATCCAGCGTATAAATTGTTTTCCCCGAGCCGAAGGCGCGAAGCGCCGCGCGAGGGTACTAATTCCCCCCGGCTATTTACACCCGGGGAAGGGAAGCATTAGCGAAGTCTAAAGTTCATCAAATATCGCGGGCGTGGGTCACTGTGCGTGTTTCGGTGGGTGGTCATCCTCACTGATCTC